AAGAAGGTCCACTGCCAGGGGGCAGCACCACAGCTTGTTCCACCTCCGTCTTGCCCCAGGCCACAGCAAGGCAGCCGAGCCCCCCACGTCTGAGCACCCTGTTCTCACCACCACCTCCAGAAACAAGAGGCAGAGGGCACCTTCGCTGCTGGACTTGGGGCTTTGCCTGGGATACAAGCGTGCAGGTGCACAGCTAAAGGAGCATCTCTTCTCCACGGAGGAAAGGAACAGCCTTTCTCGCAAGGACAAGGTGCTTCCCCATCACCAGAGCAAACGGAGAGCCACCATACACTTGGCTGAAGCCGAGTCCCAGCCCATGATATTGGCTCCTCAGGCCCTAGCCAGAGTTCTCAGAGCTGAATCCCTGCATGGGACGAGACACGGGTTTTGTCAGATTAAAACACGGCACACGTGGAAGCCCTGGAGGTAGGAGAAGCACGCCCTGGATTGCCAACTGCCCACTGCTCATCATCTGTTTAACCGCAGGCAGAGACACATAGCAGCCACAGGTAAAACTCTCTCTAAAAACACCTCCTCCTGAGCAGCCAGCTTTGTGCCAGCTGAAGTTGTTTCGCCTTTTCTCCATGTGCTTGTACGCCCGCTCAGCCACAGCCGCATTTCTCTCCTACTGCCCCGATACGCCTGCCAGGGAAGTCACAACACGAGAAGCACACTGCTGCACACCGAACGCAGACACCTCATGCACTTTGTATCTTCAGTGGTAAACTTCAGTTTCTCTGATCCAGTGTCACTCACTACCCGAGAACGTCAAAGCTCTTGGCTCTGAAACGCCATGGCAACACTTGAGGGTACTGCAATAAGTTAGTTTCACTACGGGGGGATTACATGCAACTCAGACACACGGGGGAGGGCTAGCCATAAACACACGACGTTTAACACTGCTTAAGCGGAGGGATCTTCAGTCGTCAAACCTCCCCTCACGGATGGTATCAAAGGAGAAAGGGAGAAACTTGAATCCAGTGCCAGTGTAGAACTTGTTCTGGAACTCGATCCTGCAAGAGAGGGAAGAGGGATTGTTCATCAGAAAGGCGCCTCTCAGATACGAGTTAGCAATTAGCAAGAACTCCATCAAAGTATGATTATACAAAAATAAAGCTTTAAAGAGGAAAAGTGGCATTATGATGTCGCATATCTTTTGGCACAAAGCCCACATTTTCATTCGACGTTTCTGCAGCAGAGCAGAGAATTGCTGAGGTGCTTCGATCCCACCCCGACGGGCAGTGAAAGGGCAACAAAACCCAAAGAACTCGCCAACCACGGCATCACTTCGAAGGACCTAGGAGCACAGAGCACTTCCCAAAAGATCTCGTTACTGAAGTTCACGTTTTAGTTAGGACAAACCTCAGTCGCGTGATGCTGTGCTCAGACTTCCTCCATCAGCCACTTCTGTTTATTCACTTAAGCACATTTGGCTTAGCCCCACGTGACTACTGCTGAGCTAGAGATGTGCCTGCTGTCTCCAGCTGAACATTAGCCTGGCCTTGTTTGCCTGCTTCCCCTAATAAACTCAGTTTAAAAAAAGAATTATGCTGAGCCTCGTGAGAAACGCTTTCCATTGCGTGATCCACTAAAAAACCAAAGTCTCCGTAGGAATCAACTTGACAGCAAATTGTACAGCAATTTAACACAGTTCAGAATTATTTTTATGAAGCACAAAAGAGCAGACTTGAATTCTTTTTTTCCCCAGTCAGGAATCACGGCAAACTCCAGAGCTGCTGGTATTTCAGCTGGCAAAAAGTGATTTCCCAATAGAGCTCAGGAGTGAAATGTTCAGAAAAACAGCTTTCTGCTCCTATCTTCTGCTGCCTGTTCCTGCAGATACACAGGCTTCCCTGCAGAGGAATCCCTGGGATGAGCAGGATTTTCCACGTGGGAGGAAGGGCTCCTTGCCAACACGCTCCAGTTTTTCAGGAACCCTGTTAATCTCCGTAAGTATCCTGTGACTAAGTAGCTATTCTGTAAGCAAAGGGAAATAAGAGGCCGAGGGTTGGGTATCTGACTCACACAGAACCCACTGTAAATGAAATTTTAACCCTGATGATGAACTGTTCCAGCTGGCCCTGACATCTGAAAGCTCCTTTTGGACACACTCAGTTACACCTGGCCACAACTGGATGCCTGAAGCTCGAGAAGAGGCTGTTGTAAGGTTAGGGAACTGGTGAAAAAGTTTTAATTAATCCAATAATCATGGCTTAAACATTCTGCGTGCTTTTTCTGCAGTTGTCTACAGGAGCACCCAGAATCCAAGGTCCCTTTCTGGTATGAGACACTGCTGCTTCCAAGATCACCGGCTGTCACGTGTGCCACCTCTGCTGCTAAACTTTGCACCGTGCGTCTCCCGTCAGTGATCAAGTTCTGCAGAAGAATTTACTGGACAGTTAGCACTGCACTGTAAATAAAACAGACTAGAAAGCTGTCTGGCAGTCAGACTTCAAGAAAACCCACTCTTCAGCTTTCTTGTTTTAATAATTAGCTTAAGTGCTTGTGGGACTGTAGTTCTGTGGATTTTCCAACCCAGCAGAGCCATAGAGTACCCACGCTGTCTGGAAAACTAGGCAGCTCACAGCCCCGTGGGAAGCAACCGCAGAGACAGTTGCTGAGAAGGAAACCTAACTTTCATTTAGTACAAGTGCAAATTCCTGCCTGGTATTTGTGTTCTCAAAGGCCTGTGCCAGCGCCTGGGTCGGCTGCGATTCGCAGCACACCTCGAAGCGGGCAGCGCCCAGCACACCTTATGGCCAGAGGCCGTTGGGGTGTCTGTGTCAAGCTGGTGCAGTTACCCTTTCCCAAAAAGGACAGCAGTTTCGTAGCGGCACCGTGGGTCACTCCGTCCTGTGCTCACAGCAGACTGCCTTTTAGAGCAGCAGCACGCTCTCTGGTCGCACCACAGACACACCCTGGCTCATGACCTTTACAAAGAAAAATAAAATTCTGGCAAAGCGGGTGGGGAGCTGGGCTTCACCACTGCTGCTCGCCGGACTGCGAGCGGGACGCAGCTCCAGCACGCCCACGCCTCTCGGAAAGCAGCACGGCCCCTCGCGTGGCCGAGGGCCAGGAGCTCTGCCTGGGCAGAGGAGGCTCTGCCTGCCCAGTCTCAGCTTACAGCCGAGAACAGCCATCCACCAAGGGCTGCATAATTGCTGCTTTTTATTTATTCTGCATGGTTGTTTGACGTTGACCACGTTTGTTGGGTTTGAAATCTATTTTGGTGTCCCTGTGCAGGCCCACAGCACTCTCCAGCTTTGCCACTCAGAACAACAGAGGCAGCGTGTGGGCTCCGTGCCGCCAGCTGCCCCTAACGCCGCGGGGCTGAGCGCGCTGCTTCGCATCCGTTCCGCTGCCGCCAAGGGGCCGAGCGCATTCTGGGGATGTCTGCGGACCAGTGGCAAACAGCTCAGGCAACCCACGATAAAGAAAACCCACGTTTATGTCTGTCCCAAGCATGGCCACGACGAAGCGCAGACACTTGCCAGGGAGGCTGCTGACGCACACCCGAGGGAGAGAACAGACCGCAGCCTTCATAAGAGCAGGTGAACACAGTTCTCCGTGTTGGCCAAAGCCACGCGTGGCCGGGACCCGTGCTCTCCACACCAACAGACACGGGCCGAGGGGTTCGAGACTGGCTGAGAGACACCTGGGTAACCAGAGCTAAGCCTGAACAACGCGGTTTGACTGCTCCAAACTCTGGAGCTGAACCCCCTGCATGACGATGCTCGTTTAGCACCAGCCTCTCCCCTTGTCCTGGTTAAGCTACGACACCCCTGCAGAGCAAGACAAACCCCACTCTTCACTGCTCTGAATTAACCTGGTTTGCTTTGGATTATGCCTGCTGCTATCCATTCTTTCTAGCAGTGGCCTGGTCTTGGGACGTATTCTAGGGAGAATAGCTTCCAGTTCCAAATCCGGCCTAAACCTGAACCTGAAATACAGCTTTACACAGGCAAGCAGCTCTGCTGAAACCGTATTCCTGCATCAACCCATGATGTTGGGACCCTGCTTTGAATCCAGTCACAAGCTTCTCCTTTCAGGCAAAGTCTATGTTTGCTCAAATTAGAAGAGCTGATTAGCTTCAAGACAGCTAAGCTTGAACCTGTTTTAACCTTAGCACTTAACCTCCTTTTCCACAAAGTTGCCATTGGAGCTCAGAATAACAAGGCAAAGGAACGGTTCCTTGAGCTAACACCACAACGTGGGGTACAGGTCAGAGAGCTGCCGCGCTCCGGCAAACCTCCGATACGCACGCCTGCGATCTTGGCAGCTCTCGGAGAGCTTCCTCCACCCCAGAATGCTCCAGAAAAACCCAGCCTGCTGGAGGAATGCATACTTTCTGAAAAAGCACAAACTAAATCCTCCTCCTTTGGGACTGATAGGCAGAGCACATGGAACAAGCTGTGCTTTTCCCCACCAGTAAGACACATGCTAAATTCCTCCTCCTTTCCAGGAAGGCTCACCCACCCACACCTTCAGAATTCCGGATAGGTGACTCCTCTCCCACAGCCAGAAATCCAATACGCTCCTCCCTGGACAGCTGTATTTGACCTCCCCTCACTCCTTCTAAAAATGGAACACCCACCACTGGAAACATCCTGATTTCGTGTTCAGAAGCAAAAAGGAATGTTAACAGCACGTTCTTTTGAACAATGGCAGGTGCCTTCCTCTCCACTGTGATACTGAAAATCTAACAAACCCAAAATAATTTCAGCGATCACCTGCAGCGTGAAATATTGTCTTAAACTTACTTTTCAGGCTTGAACAGATTTTGTCGTAGAGAATGTATATTACAGTTTTAAAACTTTGAAACGTGTGCTTAGGGAAGAATATGACTTCATTAACAGCTTCGGTTCCGCAGCTCCCCGGCAAGCGCCCTGCACCAGTCTGCACAGCACCAGGGGTCCACGTGCTTACTGCTATCCCTCAGCGGGCTCTCCCTGTCTGCTTGCCATTTCAGTGACACGCACCTTCCCTCGACACATTTCCAGGCAATTTTTTAATCCCTCTTTGGAGGTAGCCTGGCAATGTGAAAAGCCACCTCTTGGCTGAACTGCAATCTCCCTTCACACGTCTTCCAGATGCCTGTGAGAGGTACCTGCCAGCACAGTCTGTGGTTATTAGCACAGGACAGGTACCTCCAGAAAAACACGCTTTCTTATCTCAGCCCATCCCTTAGGGTAAAAAAGAAAACACAGAGCCTGCCAAGAAGAAAAGCCATACAGAACTGTTCACCTGCTGTTGCTCAGAAACGTGCCACGCAGCACTGCAGTCCAGAGGAGCAAGACTCTGTCCACTGACTGAGAGCAGCTGCAGACAGAGTCAGAGCAGTGCTCACTCCCCGCTGCTCTTGGGCTGCTAGCAATGGCACCAGGCAGGGTTTGCAGAGCTCCTTCCTCCACACTGATGCAACGGCGTAGTACAGTGACAGCAGGACGGAGACGAGGAAACACCAGCCAGTCAGCGAGAAGTTCTCAAGTGACTGGTATGAAGATTTCTAGGCTGGATGCCAGGGAAAACAGGAGCACCATCCAGCAGCCATTTTCAGCAGCGCACCCGCTGCAGACACGCTCGGCACAAGATGGCTACAGCCCCAAACCCCCGTGCGAAGAGAAGCTCCCTTGGGCCGCAAAGACCCAAGCACTCCGGGATGCTCCAGTCTGCACCCCCTGGGCTGCCAACACAGAGGGCAAAAGGACAAAGTTTTCCTTCCCCAGAAGTAGGGCAAAAGTGCAAAAAGGCTTATTTTCTTCTTTTTTTTTTTTTCTTTTTTTTTTGGAGGCACAGGCTTCCTTTTTCACTTACAGAACTACCTTTTAAGAGGCGCTCATAAACTTTTTCTCCCATTTAAGCAAGCCAGAATACTCTTTGTGAGCTTCATGGGACTTCACTTTCTTCTCCTGACCTACCGGGAAAGAAACTACCTTAAGAGATGGCAGCAACCAGAGCTGTCCAGAGGAGAGGTACAGAAATACTCTCCTGCACTTTCAGCTGAAGAGAACCCTAGGCGAGCAAAACCCACTCCCACGTTGCTCCTTTGATCCCACCAGCCCACTAACCAGGGAATCTGAAGGGGAACAACGTGCGCTCTTCAATACGGATTAGAGAAAGCTCCTGAACACATTCCATACTTGGGTGCAGAGAAAGCCATGAGCACTCCAGTGAGTAATTCCTTCTTGTTTACTGGCTGCATACACAGGAGCTTAAGAATCACAGGAAAGGGGCTACAAAAGCATCAGACAATAAGCAAGACCAACAAGCAACCCCTGCTATTCCACAGCACCCCAAAGGGCAGAGGCAAAGCTGCCCCTGCTCAGTGCAAGGTCCTATGAAGACGAGCAAGACCACATGTAGGAAACTCCATAGCTAGTGCCCAGTAAGGAAAACAAACACTAGAACCAGGCAATGGACGAAAGGATAGAACAAAAAAGTCCTCCTGCAAGCCACAAGCATGCTCATCTTTCTAGTGCGGCCTTCCCATCCCACGGGTCGCAAAGCTTTAGTCTAACTTGCTTTGAAGCCGAGGTCAGTTACTCTCCACAATTCCTGAACAGCGTTTACGCATACAGTCAGGAGAGAGCAGTGGATCACTACAACAAGACAGAGATCTCTGACCCTTTCACGGACTTTCTGCTGTCGGAGCACATCTGCTGTGGGACATTCAGATGTTTAGGCACATTTGTGGTACTCCAGCACTCCTGAACCTTGCTGATCTTGGCTCAGTATTACCCACTACGCCAGTTTTACAGCCCTAGCTTTCCTGTGTAAGGGCCATTACAATTTTCTAAAAGCTGGCATTTCTGCACAGTCCAGGTGACACCAATTTTCTTGCTGTGAAGAGTTCTGAATTCTCTGCATATTCCAGTAACTCACCAGTGCAAGCGAAGAGCATGGAGAAAAGCAGACAGCCCCTCCATGACCAGGAGAATTGCTACTGTCAGGGTAGCGAACGCAGCAAATACGAAGAAGAGGCCAAAGCCTCCACCCAGACTCCTCACGCTGAGGCCAACGTGGATCACCATGGTCCAGAGCACCTCCGAGAGCTCTGCCAGGAAGAAAGGGGAGAAGAGGGCTCGTTTCAGAACATTCATCAAGAACAGAAGGTTGTTACAGTTCAATTATAAAGGAAAAACTGAAGTCAAGCAAACTCCCACTACAGTGAGGTGGGAAACTTCCGAGAGGCAACAGCTTTCGCAGCCAAGTAATGTCAGGACATTGCCTCCAACTGCCACACAGTGCAGGGCAGAGTCCTTGCTCAGCAGCTCTTGGCTTTCCTCAGTGCTTTCAACTCCATCCCTCCCTTCCAGACCCAGACAGCTTTTAGCAGAGTGCTATTAGACACTGGTGTTTAGACTTAATTAGTCCCAGCTAATGCACACAGAGCTCTGTCCTTCTCCAGCAGCGCTGGACAGTTGCGCTCCGGGGAGGCTGCTGGCATTACTGCCTTTCACCCACCGCCAGCCCAGGGTGATCAGACGGATCCAAACCCCCGTCCCATGAGGAACACTCACGTGCGTGGGCTAAGCTGAGAGCCCAGAGCCTCAAGTAGGATGCCGTGTTCGAAATGCACCCCAGGCAGTACTCAATGGTGTGGATTGCCTGGTACACCACAGTATCGCCAAAGTCAAACTGCAAAGAGAAGACAGAAAATGAAGTGAGCTGCGAGGCTCGCAGGCAGCGAGGGCTGGCTGGTCGGGGAAAACGAGCACGCTACCTGGTGCTATGACCAAGGACACCGTGCCTGAAGTTAGGCACTGACACTGTCTTCTCCTGGCTTAGCAGGTTATAAAAGAAAAACAAATTCTCTTGTCTTGCTGGGTTGTGCAGAATGACAGTTCACTGCTGCAGCTCAAGATATTATTGTTTTCACATTCTACCATGTGAAAGTCAGATTATTTCAAATTCAGCCATGGACTTTGCCAGGAAAAGACTGTTCAGCAACGATGTGGTATTCATACACGTTCACTGGTAAATTGTATGCACCTCTGGAAAAAGGCAGTATTCCAAGTCGATACTGCGTATGCACCTTTGCTACAGGATCAACAAGAACATTCTGCAAGAGGTGAACTGCCCTTTTTGAAAGCAAAAATAATGCACAAAGCAATCTTGAAGAAGTCACATCTGTGCACCATTTGTCGGCGAAGTCTCTGCGTCTTGGTAATTTTTTGAAATAATTAAAGAACTTACAAGGAAGTCTGCCATGTAGGACAGCTTCTTATTGTGCAGCTTGGGAAAGAATTCCCTGCATTTTGGATTTAATCTCTGCTTCAGAAACTACTCGTATTTAGGTGAACATGATGTTTTAAATACATCAAGTGACTCACGCTCTAAGCACGCACAGAAGGCTATTTATATTCTTATTTCTCCCTTAGTATACCCAGGGCAATAAATATTTCAAACAATTAAGCTAAATTAGCTGTCAAAAGCCTAATTCTTTCTCCACAGAACGTGAACTGCAAAGTTCTTTAACACGGCGTGCCCCAGTGAACAGTACCATCTCCCAACACACGCGGAAAGTCAGCGTGCAGTAAATGGAACGTGACAAATATTCAAACCATGGCAATTTACAGCCCTGAGCAACTGCTGGAGAGTTACCACCGTGCTAGGGAGTGGGAGAATCAGCAGGATTGCTACGGCACAGTATTTGGAGTTTTACACGTTCTTCACAGGTTTAGGGATACACAGAATTAACAGGTACACGAGCACGCTGCTTCCACGCCCCCCTCGACTCTACAGACCGATGCACAACAGACCTCTCAGCAAAACCACCTTCAGCACTATTTACCCCAGCAGTGTTGTGAAGCTACTCTAATTTCATGGCATTCATAGTTTTTGTAATAAAATTAGTTACCTGATAGCACTGAAACCTACAATCAATCCTGTATGGATATTCCTAAAAAAAATTTCTTTAATACTCCTACTTGTTACAGGTGTCTATGAACGAGCAGTTTCTCAGAACAGAGCTTCCCTTCCACAGAAAGACACTGGTTAGTTCAGTTGTTGAGCTGTATGTACAAGTTTGCTGTATTTGCTGAGTGGCAACAACCAGTATCATCCTTAAAACTGCAGATAGTTCGGGAAAAAAATATCTTTGAACAGTTTGTTGTAGTGCAGAATTACCAAAGACACAACATAAGGCAAACGAGACTTCTTTAGAAGTTTAAAAGCAAAAACTTTTCAGTTTCAGACTTCCAGCTCAACAGCTTTCTAGGTAAGCTGAGAAACATCTGCAGACAGGGGGTAAGACAAACAAGCTATGCAGTTGAAGTCATTAAAGGTCTGTAATGGGCATGTACGTATGAAGAATTAAAAATGTGATATAGCTAGATCCTCTGGAACACAAGATGTCGTGACATAACATGTTCAGTTCAGCATGTGTTTTACACCAATGGGAAATGGTCCAGATACACATGAATGCAAAGCTGGCTGTAGTCTTACCACCTCATCCTCTGTAGGCTTGAAAACATAAGTTTAGATTTAGTGCAGTGTCTCGATCACAACATTAATCATGAACACATTCAATAATTCCCTACTAAACACGACACAGTAAAGCAGTAACACATCACATGCACTACAGAAGCAAGCTGCCGCTGGAGAACCGTTAAGAGGCATCAGAATACTCCCAAACTATGCGAGATCAACTCCTTTTTCTTCTCTACCAGAGGTAAGACAAAGCAATTAATATCACCCCAACGGTCAAAATAAATATGTAAAGAAGATTGCGCTGCCGCAGAAATAGAGCCCCTGGATTTTCACTGCACTGGAGAAGCAGACAGCACAACTGCCAGAGCACAAGCTGCACGTGCCACCCGGAGCGCTGCGCAGCCCCCAAGATGCAGGGTCTTTGTAATGGGGACAAACAGAGGCACGATTCCCTTTATATGCAAATTATACTGCTGTTTCTGGAGTCCTGGGAATGACCAAGAGATAGCCTGTATGAAAACTGCTATGAAAAGACTTCACTGAAAATGTTGCTATGTAGTTTAAACCAGCATGGAAATCAGTAAACGCAGTCCAAAAGCCAGCACTCTGCGACCCAGCGTGCTGCCCCGAGAGGGGGGACGGTCGGGCGCTTACCTCTTCGCCCTCCTCGGAATGGGTGGACAGCTGGTCATGCTGAATGATCTCCGCGTCCTCCTCGGTCGGTCCGTTGCCCACCCGGATCCCACCGAAGTTGTGCGTTCCCTAACACATGCAGAAAAAGAAAGAGCAAAGTGTTGTCTGTGTTCTACTGCAAGAGAGCATGCTTCTTACGACTCCACGTGCAGCAGCAGCTCACAGAAGGAAACAAAATATGAAGTATGAAGGCCCAGGTTAAGTCAGCTGTACAATTCTACTTCCCAGCTTGGAGGGGAAAGATGCCGAGTCCTGCTAGGGCTGGGGAAAAAAGTCTGTCTGAATAAATACTTCATATATCCCTACAATGTAACTGCAACTCCAAGTAAAGTGAAAGGCACATCTCTCCAGAGAACTGGCGTGCGACAGACCAACGTTCTGCCCAGCAGCTGTTGGACAAGCACTGGAACACCACTGCTGTTGTAAACGAAACCAGTCACACAGTGGCAGCTCAAAGCAGAAGAGACGGACACCAGTCTACACACACATGCTTGCTCCCCACCAGTGTCAGGCATGCTACCACCACACAGGGGAAATCAGACTTTCCCCTACTTGGAAACTCTGCGTTGTGCAAGCAGTTCCTTTTTTGGACATTTGTTTTGACACTCAACATCTGACCTCAGCCATAACTCCACTGTGCTCCAAATAGAAAAGAACAATCCACACACTGAGCTGAAACTTTGACAGAGTCAGGAGTTCCTCTTGCGTGACCGCTGTAATCACTGCACAGCTAACATCTGATTTATGGCAGGCTTCCTCCTCCACACCCTCCCTCCACCAAGAAAGGGGCACAAACTGGTGGATCACCTGCCAGTGCCCTGAAGCAGAGCTCGGACGCGTGGTAAACGCATCCTGGACAACGAGGGCCTACCGTGCACATCGCTGCCTCTGGATTTCTGCTCAGCAAGCAGCGCTGTGCCCTGTGCAGCAGGATTTCTCCCTCCCTCCGGATGCTCCAAGACAGCAAACACTCAGGACTGACCTGAGGGACCGTAAGTTAAGAGCTGTGAGTCTGACCCACCTAGAGAGGCAACCTGCAACACCCGAAAGGGAAAGAAAAGCCCTGTACTGGGGTCGCCTGTGGCACGGAACGCAAACGGGCTAACGACACTTCGGAAGTTTGGGGATGATTATGCAAACCAAGGAGGCTCAAGATCCCATGACCTGTCTGCTTTCAGAGTTCATCGCTCTGGCGTAACAGCGGAGCGGCTGCTCAACGTTCTTTAACCGAGTTGTTCTTCGAAGCCCGCTTTTACTTTAGGCTGAACTATAAATTTGGCCAGAATGCCAGAAGTGAATTAAAGATTTTGTCAGGTTTTTAAAAAGAAATGAGGCCGGTGTTTATGCTCTGAAAACAGAAATAAAATGAAAAAAAAAAAAAAAAACCCGAAAAAAAAACCCCCAAAAAACCATCTAAAAGTAAGACAACGTTTTTATTAGCATTTTCAGCATCTTTGAAACATTACAAGCTACTGATGACCCGTATCAGTACTCTGTGTATTTCTGGCCTCTGTGAATCTGCACTGCTGCAGCTTTTCCCTCGCACTCGACTTGTATCTGTCCTCTGTAAAGTATCCAACCTAAACACGGCTCCACAAGCTCCAATCGCTTACTTTATGCTTCCAACCACACTTCATGCAAAGAGCTTCCCTCACAGCTTCCTGTAGTGAGATGCACTTCATACACTGGATGGATTATGCATGAAAGATCCATCTTTATTTCTGACATTTCTGTGAGGCTATTCAAAATGTCATCATAGAAACACCGGCCAACAGCTAAAACGCTCCTCAAAAGTCAAAGGACCTTTGACATGTGGAGCACACAATGTGCCTCACGTAGTCTGCGAGGCTTACACTCCCTCGTTACACAGGCAGCACTCACAACTAAAAGCAAGTTGCAATACACAGGACTGGGGAAGGGAGCAAGTTCTGGGAGCTGCTGCAATCCTTCCTCTGCCAGAAAGCTCTGGCAGTAACGGGCTGTCCGCAGGTTTAGACACAAATAAGCAGAAACAACTGCTACTGAGAGGCTTATTTGTGCACAACCATTTTATAACAGTTTCAAGTCAAAGTGTCTACAAGGGCAGAGGTGTCAAAAATCCAGTAATTCCCGATATGAAGTTGTTGGGAGGCCATCACATAAACATGATGTTTGGGAACACATAATGCAAACAGAAATGCTTCACTGAGAAGAATCCTAACCTCTGTTAAACAAATATGCAAGAAAAGGAAGAAAGGGGAACTTAACCTGGGGGGATGTGGTAGCAAGGCATTCTTGTGCTGCTCTGCAGGTTTTGATTTCGGCAGCACTCCTGCAAAGAGGTGCCTCTGCCTTCTGTGCACTCATAACTATTCTCCTCCAGCCTGGTAGTTCTTCCAGAATGTATCAATTTTGCTGAACTTTGCTCTTGCCAAGAGAAAGTGGTTTTCACCCTAAAGGTGCAGTTGTCATTCACTTAGGAAATTCAGATACATTCCATGCTCTCTTGGTAATTAGATAGAAAGCCAGCTCCCATCTTTAAATCCATCAGGTGATTTTTAAATCCACTCACTGTTGCAGCCGCTGCTGCCTCTAGTGCCTGCTCGTTCGGGACTGTGCTGACCTGGGCCTCCACGGGCTGCCCTTCCTGATAGTGAATGGAAGAAAAGAAAGGGAGGAGGAAGAGAACAAAAAGAGAAAGGGAGATGAATGGAGGGAACATGGGAGGATGAAAGATGGTCAGAGAAGGGAGAGGGAGTGACTTTCACTGAACTGATCTTTGACTTACTTAACATCCTAAAAGCTGTCTGCCATACATGCAGGGAGAATTTTCAAGTATCCTCAGTGCACGTGTGCCAGGTTCCTGCATTTTTATGAAGATGCTTTACAGCACAGTTGGAAACCTAGTGAGTACCCCAGAAGACAACCTCTCACATAACGACTGCGTAAGTCTATTTTTTTAGCTTTCAATTGTTATTTTTTACCATTCAAACCACTTTAACAAAGACAGCTGATAAGCCTGCCAAGCCAATTAAGCTTACATCTCTGCTTTTACCTTGTCAGCCTAGCGAAGGCACAGAAGTGCATCCAGCAACCAGTAAGACAGAGTTCCTAAACCAGCTGACAAAGCCCAAGCCCAATACACTGTTGTCATCATTACCAACATAAAGCGTTTTTAAAAGCAGGTTTGATGCTGGATCCAGATCTGAGAAGCAGGCAGGCAATGCTTTGTCTGCAGCAAAACCCACCTGCCTTTAGTGCCTGGGAACATGCAAAAACATTTTACAGGTCACGGTGCAGTGTGAACCTACGTATCCAAGACCAAGACGGAAAAAGTAGCTTTTCAACCGTAATTAGTGTTCATATTGAAAATGTAAGAGGTAGTTACCCACCAAGTGCTTCCTCCTTAAATACTGATGGCGCAGGACCAGGGGTTTAGCCACCAGCATCCATGGCACACACAGTAACGCCACCACCACAAGGAAACACTGGAGCCCCTTCTGTAAAAGAAACAAGTCTCAGATGATTCAGGGGCAGTCCATGCTCACACACACACACAAAGCCTAGCAAGAGGTCTCATGCCACACCGAACGACTGAATTCCCAGAGTACACAGATGCTTCGCCATCTCTCTTCTGGAAACAGCAAGATTTGCTGTACTTAATGCCTGCTTGCAGCTGCCCCATCTGACTGTACACAGCATGTAATGCTGACACTGGTTTAGGTTAGGGAAAAATCCAAAAGATTCTGCAGGGAATGAGAATTTGGCAGATGTCTGACAGTGCCGGGAAGAAACAGCGTAAGCATCTTAGCTAAGCTTAGAGGCCCCACAGTGCAGATGCAGGACGACATTCCTAATTGCTTCCCACAATTAGTCTGGATCCAAATGTTCTGGGGCCACAGCTGAGATGTTCAGACTGATATGAATCCCTGATATAGGGATTATTCCTTCCTTCTTCAATATTACATAGTGTCAGGCTTCGGAAATGATGCCACATTTCCTCTATCACAGAGAAAAAATGTTTCACGCTTGATTTCACAATCATTATAAAGTCAGTGAAAGACTCAAATATCATGGAGCACCTTTGATATTATTCTAGCAAGAGCACGCACCTGCCCTTTATACAGCATCTTATTACTGGTATCACCATAGGAGAACAGAAACATGTTGATAAAATGTATTAAAAGGCTTGGTGCATCCTTTGACGTGTGAGCATCATAGGCTGTCCATTTGTAGAAAATGAGAATAACAAGGTATCCAAACAGCGATGACATGAAAATCATTTCTGGAATGAATCCAAGGTATGTGCTCAGTGGCTTCTTAAAATAGCTACAGGAAAAAAAAAAAAGAAAAGGAGAGTTTAATCTTACATTTGGCTAGCCTTAGGCATCTCTAGGGCAAAAACTTCTCATGAGAACGTGGAGAGCATCTTTGGAACAAAACTGCAGGGGCTCAGCATCTCAGCAATAGCTGGGACCTAAACACAGTAAGTACCCAATGTGCACAGTTGTACACACGCAGGCAGGAACAGCTGTGTGGCACCCTTCAGTCAGAAGCTAAAGTCTGACACGCTCCTGCATCTGAAACCCACACATGTTACACCCAAAGAAGTTTCCCCCCCACCAAGAGAAAACCAGAGCACAGCACTTACATGTGGTTGAGAAGACTCAATGTGACACCAAAGAGCATGTGGATAATGCCAAGAATCACAGACATTTTCATCTTAAACGAATTGAGGAAGGCCAGTTTATTGGTGGCAATATTCCAAATCTGCGAAAAACAACACTGAGTCAGCCAAACACCGAGTAAAAGAAAAACAGAGGAGAATGAAAATGTTCACTTTAGGGTAAGCAGTATTAACCAGCCAGGATGTATGGGGCTGTAGGAGCAGGTTTGTTTAAACATGTGTTTGTCACATGGACATCTTTTGGGGAAATGAGCAGACAACCTCTTCTGCTATGAACACTGTCTTACAGCAACTGATCCCACCACCAGAGCAGGAATCAAACCTTGCTTGCCTCCACGGTAGGCAAAAGTTGCAATAAAAAGGGGGCTGTACCCTTGACAGAAAAAAAACCATGATTATCCACTTAAATGAACAATCACAAATAGTTCTGATTTTCTTTGCTTCCTCCCGAGTGGGGAACACACGCAAGTTTTGTATCAAACGCCCCAAGCAGCGTTAGGAGCAGTTACTGGCGTACGCAGATACAAAACGACAGCATTACCTGGAAACTTACACTTCAAGAGATAAACAACTTTCCCTGAGGTTAAAAAAAGGTAACTTCATGAGCTGGTTTGCAAGTCTAACCAGATTTTATTAAAATGCTCCAGGTTAGAAAGGCTGAGAAAGAAGCCTTTAACGGACCTGAGAACAAGTCTCTCTACCCTGAATCTCGCGTCTCCGCAGGAACTGAATTAATTTGATCGTTCAGGAGTGTTTCCAACATTGATAAAGAGTTTGGTAAGGGAATGGCTGTGCTGTGGAAAACTTTCACAGTGAACTGGACAGGTACTTTTCATTCTGTTGACACGAGGATGTTCTTAAAGGGCAGCAAAGGAAGGAAGAGCTCTTACCGGGTCAATGCCAAAGGGGTAGGGTCCACCAAACACCCCTGGAATAGCAGGGTTCAGCTGAAGCAGAGGAGTACTCTCTAGCAAGTCATCTCTGTTTGGGTATAAGCAGATTATACAAACATTAACACAAGCAACATTGTCCTCTTCCTGTAAAAACTAACAACATTCTCCCCTTGTGAGAGCAAGGAATGGCTCAAATCAAGAGAACTTTAAGGTTCCTCCATGGTCCTAGAGACATTCCAAATGAATAATAAACCTGTCCCTTGACCTGTTACTCAATATCACAAGGAAGTAAGATGTAGAGGACAGGAATCTCGCTACATCAATGAGGAGAAAGGTGCTAAACTGCATCTTTACAAGATTTCTGGAAAAAAAGAAAAAGCTGGTTTGAGACTTCATAAGATATCACACTTACACCCCTCTTCCAATTCTACTTGAGCACAAGTTCAGAAGTTTTTGTTTTACTGAGTTGGGAGGACAACGGGGGAAGATAAGTCACCTGCTTATCACTGTCACTATCTAGTTACCAACTATTTACTCACGACCAGTTGCCTTTTGAGAACATCGGCCGGACGCTCCACGATGAACCAAACATATTAAGCGACTTGGAGAAGCAGTCGTTGTAGATGAGGCCTGTGTAAGTGGAGAACAGTCCCATCAGCAGAATGATGTATCGACCACTAAAAACCATGTTGAACATCTAGTATCAAAACAAAAAGGAACAAATAACATCCATGAGAACAAGGAAGATCTCTCATAATGGTGAAACAGCAAAACCAGTCAGGACAAACAGTATCAGCCATACGGACTCAAAGCCCAGGGTCGCCACCTCCCCATGGCAGGGATTAAGGGTGCAAGAGGCAGCACTGCAGAACAGAATCTGAATACAGAGGATGAACAGGCAGCTTGACTGCCCACGGAGAATCTGGGATTAGCTGAAGAGGATAAATCGCACGGCACACACTGATGCAAGCCCCCAGCTGGCAGCATTACTCTTGGACTAGGCAGTGCAGACCCCAGTCTGCTTTCTCCATGCTCTGTCAATGTATCTTAACTCTGGTTCATCTCCTGCCAAACTAAGCCCTGAGCAAGCAAAACCCACCTAAGCTCAGCAAACAGGAAGAATCTTGGAGATATGAGATATATATACAGAAATCAGGAGTTTTGCAGTGCCTGAACCTCTTTACGATCCAACCGAGTTTTGGGTGATTGTTTACAACAGCTTATCTACTACACTTGATAAACAATTTCCTTTAAACAAATGAAAGGAATAACGTCCTACAAAGATCCAAAAGGTAAACCAAAAGGAACTCACTACTGTCATGAAACGATGCTACTCAGTCTGCAGTTTACAAGCTTCTTGCTCTGTGTGCTTCACAAATTCCAAATGTAAGGAGAAACGGGCATTCTCAGCTCCGGGAGGGAGGGACACGAGTAAACCGAGCTGCAGCTCTGCTTTAATGCAAAGCTCAGCATGACCTGCCACTTTACCTCATTGTCGCTCTTCTGTGACAGAATACGACTTTCTCTAAGCACCATCCAGACAGCAATCAGGGTCATCAGGATTCCGTGGCCAAAGTCTCCAAACATCACAGCAAACAGAAACGGGAAGGTAATGATCGTATAGGGTGCTGTAAGAGAAGAAGGACACTCCTGGCGCACTGTATTTGAGTCAGCCCAGATTTACCACAGTACAATCTAGGCAATTTAGCAATATAACTCCCAAGCTTCTCCCCCGCTTCTGAAAGGTGTTAAGTACTCTACTAGAAATTTTCACGCTGGACGGACAATACAGAGAAACAATATGACTGAAAACCTGAGGTAGATGTCTTGGACTATTAGAAGTATGAATTTACCTGGATTTATTTCCCGATATGTTCCAATGCCATAAGCATCAACAATGTTTTGAAAGCCAGAAGTAAACTTGTTAGTTTTGTTGTACGTTGGTGGAGTCTGATTGGTTTGCATCCTGTTTAAAATAGATGGGACAGTGGATCCGCTGTGCTCCTGTTTAAAAAGAAAAAAAAAGGGAAAATTAGAAACCCCACCCTCAAAGTACTGGAGGACGGAGTGTAACACTACTTTCTCCTTAGCATCTGGAAAACTACAGGCCTGCATTTTTGTCATGTGCTCGTATGATGAGAAACACTTCAGCAGCTGAGGAAGGCTGCCAAGTTTCCACTCCTCTCCACTTTGTATAGCAGGAGGAGAAGCACTTGTAGTAAGGATGAAAATTGTCTGTCTAGGACAGACAAGAAAACTCGTGCAAGAGTTTGCTCGGTTTTTTAATACAGCAAATGAAAGGACTTCAGGACACCCAACTTCAAATAAAATATCTGAGCAGAGGGCGAGCTTGCTAACGTCCTGAATGGTTCCTTTCAGTAAGCTGCACTATGTATCCAAACAGCAGGACTACAAAGCACAGCCAAGGGCACCTCAATGTACCAAGGGACACAGGAAAACGCCTTACCAATACAGCATTTTCCTGAACTTAAAGCTTTACACAATGTATTTGTTACAAAATTTATCTATAAGCCATGATTCCTGCTCGTTAAATAAACTGCCTTCTGTGAGGACTCATTCAAACAGCCCAAAGGGATGGTTTTCAGAGACTCGCTGTTCAGAAAAATCAATTCATCAACGCTGTTTGCCGACAGTCACTAGTCTGCTTGAATGGCAGCAGACAGGAGCAGTGCAGCAGTTACTCACAGTGCCTCTCCTGAGAGCAAACTGGATAGAATCAAGGTCAGCAACTGGACACCAGACTTCAGCAATCAAGCACTTCTGTGTCACATCGATATTGCACAGATTCAGGGTATGGTAGATGGCCTTCATCTTGCGCACTTTGATGAACCAGACACGGATATTTTTAGCAGCTGCCTGCAAAACCCTTTGGCGATGATCCTCTGTTTGGTTCAGCACCTTTCACAGAGAAGTAGGATAAAGACAAGGCAAAATCACTGACCAAAACTCACAGCGTACAGAACCACACAGAGAAATTGGGCTGACCAACCAGACAAACCTTACCACCGGAGGATGGATGGACGAGCCCTCTCCCCCATCCCATGCACAAGACCGCCACACGCCTGCAATATATGCTTTAGTCTCCATACTAATAAGTTCTGCTAAAAGATCTTAAGGCTTCATTCTAGGGACACTTTTTGACTACTTTCCTCTTCCTACTCCAAGGTCAGTGGATATTTCAAACACTGAACTGCTCAGAGATCTCAGAGAACAATTTTTCCTCCACCCAGGTTAAAAGAGCAGAGCAGAGTTCTACAAGTGAGGTGTACATTGCCTTAAGAAAACAAACAGAGATTACAATGAAAGACTTTTTTTACTGGAGGGAAAAGGAGAAAGTGTTTTCTACAGAGGGTGTTTTCGAACTGGGATACATCTAACTCATGCCAAGTCAGATTTCCAGACCGGAAAGTCTTAGACTCAAGGGAAAGCGAGGACACAGGGCACCTGCAGCTTTGAATCCTACTAGTTAAATTATTTCTGAGTTCTCATCTACTTTAAAATTGCTAAACAGCTGCACTACACAACTCCCAGCCTGAGACAGCTTCTGTATCAAACAAGCAGTCCAAATTAAACTGCTTTTCCTTTAAGTTTCTGAAAGATTTCTCTTTTTTTTGTCTCAAATCTCTTAAATTTTTCTGCACCGTAACATATTGCCTTTCTTCCTTGAAGCAAGCACCAAATACTTCAGAGCAGGCACCCAGTAGATTTGTGTGCTGATTACTGCTTCCCAACGCTCAGGCTGCTGCACAAGAGATTAGCTGTCAAGCTGAAGCTCTTCAGGACAGCACAACATGAAAATATGAAGATAGGCAGAAAAAAGAATAGCTTAGTTAAAGTTAGCACTGTTAGCTTGGAAATAAGTTTAAATGTTTTCAAAGTTCTTGCAGATGAAGCAGGCAATTACACAAGTGTGCTTTCAGAGTTGGAAAACACGGTACCTCCTTACGCATGCATATTCCTTTCTGATCCCTGGCATGTAGTTCTCCATTGATGCTGTACTTGCATGTATATAATTAACTGCTTAGCCCTGCAGAAAGATCAAACCACCCCACCATCCTAAACCCTGACAAAGAAAACAGCTGAGCAGACAGCCTCCAAACAACCCTCTTGCACTGCTGAGCTGCTGGTCTCAAGCCACCTGAAGCTGAAAATACGGCCACCTCATAGGGCCAAAAATTCTCCTGTTTTGATAGGATCCAAAGACGTTTTTAACTACATAATTAAACGGGAAAAAAAAAAGGGCATTGACCCCAGCTATTTTACCATCTGAAGATCATCAATTCTGGTATTGACACCAGAAGCCATTTCCTTCCGCTCCTGCGGTGTTTCTGGGCACGGGTAGAGGGAGGCACGGAATCTGAAAGACATGTAAGCCACTTTAGTAACAAAGACACAAAGGAGATAAACTAGTCAGGGAAACTACAGATGGCTGAACATAGAAATACAGCAAAAAGTGCCTGACGAGAAATTTCTGATCAGGAAAGACGGCCAAGCAGAGTTTCAGTCGTTAAACCAAACGCGTACAGAAGCTTGCTTTAGGCCAAAACAGAAGTGGGAGAAAATCCTCTGTGGCCTGTACTGACAGTGTCTCAAAGGCACTGTCACAAAGTTGATTAGCCACCCCAGCTCAGGGTGCTGCTATCATGCCAATACAGCTGCTGCTGTCCTCTGTGAGAATATCACCCGCTGACATCCCACTAGCTCTGTCTGAGAATTCAGCACTCGAACTCCCTTGGTTTCAAGCATTCTTTAGCAAAGCAGTCACCTACTTCGAGCATTACAGGCTTGGGGAGTGCCCAGTTTGACTGCAAAACACGTTTCAGCTACTTATGTTACTTTTTCTTTGCTGTCAAAATATGTACTCCTACAGTCATTGTGAACTAAGGAATTGAGAAGTATCGGTACTAAGTCATGCCAGAGTGTTTCAAGTATTTGAGAGCTGCCCAGCTGTAAGACTTTCATACCCTTCACATATCTTCTTGACTCTGTTCTTCAGCTGGTCGCCTTGGAAAAAGATGATAAACACAGACTTGTGCACGTAATCCCCCTAGAACAGAAGAAAGGGTGCACTGTAATAGCTCAGCGATTTATGCAATTACCATTACAGCAAATTACAAGAGTTCTACTTTTCCTTCCTCTGAATCTGTACATACAGAGCTCCTATCTGCACAGTGAGTCAAGAACGTATCTTAACAACACTGAAGCAGTCACAAGGAAAGCAATTTTCTTAGCCTCAGTATAGAACACCCCTCCCGTACTCATGTTTACTGAAGCAAAATGTTCTAGATTATCTACTATCTATTCTCTGTAATACAATAAACAGGAAGACCTGGGAAGATCTCCAAAAGAACAGAGATGCAATGAAATATTTATCAGCACTTACTGCAGTCAGCTCACCTACAGAACCCAGCAAAAAGCTAAAGAACGAACGAAAATAAGATGAAGCGGCGTTTAACAACTTTGATTCTCCAGGGACGCCAACGGCACATTCTTTGTACCGCTGTTTTCGCACTGGTAGCCAGGTCCCCTTTCCTGCATTTGTTGACAAGTTATTGTTCTACCTTACTTAGGAAATTTTAATGTAATGTTTCAAGAATAATTGCATTAGGTGTAACCTCAGTTTAAGGAAGTGTTGCACAATAGGAACAAAGTCTCTCCTAGCAGACAGACAATTCAACAGGTCAACTACCAGCAGTCAGAGGGACAAGAGAACGCCAGCCTCACACGAGAAACCAAGCAGCAGTTACTGAGCTTCAACTCGTCTGCCTTTATTCCAGTGCAGCCCACATACAGCCTTTCTTTTTACTGGTTAAGAGCAAGAGTTCCTGAAGTTTGGACATTGTCCATTGCTTTGAGCAAAGAGGGCACCAAACGTAAAAACAGGCCCAATCACAACATTTACTATTTGTATCTGTAATAAAGCAAATGATTCTGAGGTGGATGTTTAAATTATTGATCAGCAGATTAAGAAAAAACAAAAGGTCCAAGTTCAGAAGAAACGAGCTGCAGAAGTTCCACACCACTAACGTCCACGAGAGCCTCTCTCGGGGAGGATTCCTGCTTATTCAGAACTGCACACAGGAGCTGCGCTTCCAGTTTGTGCCAGAGAAGCAACTATGCACTGCCACAGTCCGAATTTTGAGTTGTTTTTCTCCCTTTTAACAGCATTCACCACCTGTCCTGCTATTTTTGTTTTAACAAAACAGGAGAACACTTGCCACTAAAGCCTCAGAGCCTGCAAGTAGGTACTGCGAAGGGACGCAACACAGAGGCTTGCCTGCACGGAGCTCATTGAGGGACAGCGGCTTAGATCGATAGATCTTAGATCCTTTGACACATCTGAGACTTCTGCTGCTGTAAACAATAGTTCCTTTTACCGTTACAGGATCCTCCAGGGGGTTTTCAATTTCCGCTTGACGCAGGAATACGTTCCCTCGGCACACTCGCCACAGCATGCGCTCAAACATGGGGATTCGCTCACGGTTGATCACTCCAGCCACAAACCTGTAAAGGGGACAGCATAAATACAAGCTCCACGTCTAAAAGAACAGACAGCCTAACACCCAGAACACTGACAGCAACTGGCGTTTAGCATCAGATTGAAAGCTACAAAAATCTTGTTTTAAAATTAAGTTCTTTAAGCAAAATGGAAAGTCCTCTAAATACACAGAGACAAAAGCACAACAAAAACAACTGCACTATAGCACAAGCTGTGCCTTTTAACAGAATGAAATCGTCTATTAAAAAAAAAAAAAAAGCACTAGTTGAAGGAGAAATAAATGCATTTAGACATACAGTTTCTATGCCTGCTAGTCTTCCTGGCACGCTACGCAGCAAGGATTACAGCAGTCAAGGCTACCACTGACTATGTCCCAGGTCTTCCAAAGACCTCTCTGGTTCAAACCCCCAGACGCATACAAAGACAGCCTGGAAGCAGCTAATAAGGAGGACACAGAACTACACGGTTTTTTCAGCAGTGTTCTGTGCCTGCAGTAGCTACGAGTTTCAGCAAAGCTGTGAGAGCTCAGAATGCCTGAAAAAGCAACCAGAACAGATTTACAAGGAACCAGTTGGCACAATTTCTTGCACATCTGAAGCACAAATACGAACTGGGAAGCTAATGTACAGAGGACAAGGACAGAGACCAACGGCTAGCTTTAGATCAGCCTTCATCTGCTTGGGGTGCCAGGCTGGAAAGTTCCACAACTGCACTCAAATCGTTGCGGATTCCCCAGGATGAACGCAAGCCAGCAATCCTAAAGCCAGACAACAGAAAGCACAAATTGCCATTACCCAAGTCGTAGCGGGGCACCTCTTCCCATCTCGCTTGGTTCCAGGAGTGAAGAGGATTCCTCCAACAGATCTGGATCCGCCATCTGCTGATGATGCAATTCAGCCTGAATTCACAAATCAATTAATATCTAATGAAACTAGTTAGTGGCATGCAGGGAACGAGGAACCAGGAGATAGTTTGGGGAGACAAAAGAAAAGAAAAAAAGAAAAAGAAAGAACAAACATAAGACAGCAGAAAGAGGAACTAGATGACAGAAAAGACAGCAAGAATCACGCAAGGAGAAAAACAAGAGGAAAAGTGGAATGGCTCAGCAAAGCTTCCATACAAGCAAGATCTGAAGATTTTTGCAACAGAACAAAGGGGCTGTGGGATACATAAGACTGAAGAAAGGCAGAATTCAAAAAATCTATCGAGTTTTAAATACAAGTGATGTTCCCAGGAACCATTTTTCGATGGCACAAACCAGCGTGACACACTTTACTCTAGATCTTAAATGGAGAAAAACGTGACAGTAGACGCCGATTCCCTCTTGCGCTCCTTGTGCATCTTCTGCATATTAATATAGATGCAAAAGGCGTTTCTAAGAGGTGCCTGGATGTTATACTTGATGTAAAGCAGCCTGGGAGTATCGCTCTACACGACAGGAAGAACGATGCTCAGATAAGTCTTCCACAGACAGCTGAAGAGACCTCAGGGCAGCTGGCAGCTCCAGAGGCTGTACCCCTACCACCAGCCACGCAAGACCCGCACGCCCTGCACGCGTCAGCCTCCTGCCATGCTCCAAAGCAAAGGCAACACCTTATTCACTTTGGGATTACGTGACAGCAGCTTGATTGATTCCACGGTACTCGCCACATCAGCGTAGATACAGGGTCAGAATCAGTAACAAAACCTGGAAGTACTGGATGGTAATTTCCTTTACTGACTTTACAAAGTTCCCACTCCAGCAAAAACACACTATACTTCCAGCTTAAAAACATGCTTACTGATTAAATCTTTTCATTCTTCCAGACGTTTATCCTTATTCACTATATGTATAATTGCCAGACACATAAGATTAATTGCTTAGGGCAGTCTGACCATGTTGCTCATTTTTTGACTATCAGGCATTAAAACAGGATGCAGTTTTATACCGTCCTTCATTGCAACTAATTACTAGGCTCCAATTCTTGGGAATATAGCTTGTAAGTGTCAGCAGTTCCAGTCAGGAAGGATGCTCGAACCACATCCTCTTCTACACCATCTTCCTTCTTCATTCAACCCCGCGTCACAGTTGTTTCTACCTCTGCAGCTTATATAATGAAATGACAAAAAATTACAGGTCCTTGGCACAGAGCGCCAAATTCTACCCTCTGTGGTATGCAGGAGGTCTTCCCCACAGAGCTAGCAAGGGAACTTGCTAAAATACACTTGAAGGTAGAGTTTGACCCTAGAACACAAAAAATGCACGCACACATACAGCGCAGCCTAGCAAGAGTATACAGCAAGTTTAGTGCCTCGGCCCTAGTTTCTTTATTTGTGCAACGGTTGCATCATAATTTTAGTGAAAAACTCCACATGTTCTTTGCATGCCCAATAAACATATTTGCCATATACGAGGAAGGTGTTTGCAAGGCTGACATCAAAGGCAGCTCAGCTGCTCGTGCACACACCTGCCTCAGCTCGCAGACGTTACCAAAGCAAGGCAGCACTTCATTTAGTTTGGAAAGCCAACATGAAGAATTTCTCATCCTTTCAACTTCAAGACAACTTGTTGCAACATCAAACGCTGAAAATTTTGCTTCATAGAGAACACAACCAAAATAAGAAAGTTTGGGACCCCAAACCAAAACCTAGACCAAACACACCAGTGGCTGACATTCAGACTTCAGGAAGCTGAAAACCAGTAAGTTACAAATTCAAGAGGCTTGTATTGCCCAGGGAGGCTGTGGAGTCTCCTTCTCTGGAGATATTCCAGACCCGCCTGGACAAGGTCCTGTGCAGCCTGCTGTAGGTGACCCTGCTTGGGCAGGGGGTTGGGCTGGGTGACCCACAGAGGTCCCTTCCAACCCCTACCATTCTGTGATTCTGTATTGTATTTATCAGTAATCAAGATACTCCATGATAATTTTTGGGAGGTGCACCACATTTTAGCATAGGAAACCTAAAAAAAGAAGGATAGCACAGGTGAAAACTTTGGATCTGCCTCACTTGAGAGTAATTCTTATAAATAAATGTTTAACACTACCTCTGGCGCTTTCGGGCTACGCGTCCTTTACTCAGGACACCGTATAAAACAAAGACAAGTCCTGCTCAGAGGGGTTGAAATTACAAAACAAAGCAGCTTAGAACAAACTTGGCTGACACCAGTTGTACTAAACAGGAACTTTCTTACATAAGGATTATTTGCAGAACAAAACCCTATGTTCTTTAAATTAATCTCTTAACTACTCTGCTTTGATGATCACACCCTTTCTAGAAAGGAACAGCATAGCAACATCAGCTTTGGTTCTGGAAGGGTAACAAAAGCCATGTTATAAAATTTAAATGAAATAAAAAATTGAGAGGCTATGTGGAAATGAAAGAGCTACCCAGCTATGATGCCAAAAAACAGGACTCCAGGAAATTTACTTTGAATAAGAGTTTTCTCCAGCAGCAAGTGAAATATCACAGCTATTGTGAAGTACTTTTTACTACATCAGGTTGTTCAGGATTGGAAAAGCCCAAGCATTTGCATGCCAGTAATTAGAATGCAGACATTTCCTTATTCAACATTTTTAAACCGTTTCGCACTCACCTGGATCAGCACCTTTAATCTCCAGGCCTGAGGAAAGGTTCGTTTTCCCTACTCTTGACTACAGCTCTGCTCTGCAATGGCTCTGGATCGCTACACACAACGCCATACAATCCAAGCCCCTTCCAGTTCACCCACAGAACAAAAATCAATTTTCACAAGAACTAAAAGGGATTCATTTCACCGTCTAACTTATTAACCCAGAGCCCAGACAGAAAGGACAGATGCAAAACAAACAGAAGAAAGCAGATGGCGAGAAGAGTTAGAGGAAAGAGAGACAGGGGACTGCATGCCATTAACCATTACTTTTCCAGTCTTCTTTTACACTCACACTCTAGGCAAAACTTTCAGAGAAATCTCTCCAGCTCATACTGCTCTTCATAAACAAAGACAAGAAGACTGAGAAAAGGAGCATAATCATCAACATGGTACGTTGAAACAAGAAATGGCTACTCTGGCTAGAACGGTCATACGAAGAACAAATGAAAAAATTTTGCCATGCTCCCTTCCCCGGTGGGGACCCTTTGGAGAGCAGAGCAAACACCAAGCGTAACGTACTTTGGATAGCAAGCCATTTCTTGCTCAACTGATTACTATGAGTAACACAATTTTCATTACAAGTTATTGAGGTCTTCAAGTGTTGAAGGTACTGTGCGTGAAGAGGCGAAGTGTTCGCCGCTTCGGGATCATAAGTGGACTGCACGAGGCTCAGAAGTCCTGGGCTAGCCAGGGTCTCACGCACAGCTGCTCGCTGCTCACCACGGGAACCAAAGCTGTTTCAGATTTTCAACACTTATGTCTTACCGAACTTCACACATGAGCTGTTCTGTTCGCTTTTACATACAGCAGTACATTTCATTTGTGGCATTTTATTATTACAGAAAATAGTTACCAAACAGGAGCAGGAACGTATCTAAACTTTGTAAGGCCAGTTCATTTAAGCCTGAGTTCCCTTTTGTGGGTGACCTGACATCGCAGCTGAGCAGCAGGTTATCAGGTTAACGTTTGTTTGTCAAAGGAGACGCTTCTAAGTGAACATTCAACACTCGAAGAGGCAGGTTTTTTGTACCGAGACCAACCCCATGACCAATCAACCGATCACACTAGCAGCAGTATCTATGTCAGCAGTGACTACGACTTGTGCTGGCACGAAAACAACCTTATGGCCTGAACAGGCAGCATCCTGTGCCAAAACGCCAAAAAACAAACCGTTAGACAAACGGTCTGAGGTTTGCACGGGCCCAGCTCTACCTGATCATAGTCTTTGTAAATACCAGAAGCCGTATCCGTTACGAACTCTTTGATCAAATCCTTGGATTACAGCAAACAGGACATGTACGCAGCAAAAACATGTCCCTACTGTTCCAAAGAACACACAGGAGCTCTCTGAGAAAGCTCCCTAGCCTTGGAGATACTTCAGCTTTACAAGGAAGGATTGCGTCCTCTCCCGCGTCGGCTTCATGTCTGCACCACGAGTGAGATCAGGGCAGCTCTCCTCAGGCCCAGCAGGAGGGTTGCCAGCTCCGGGCCTGGCTGCTCTTTGACAAAGTGCCGAGGATTTTAAACGGCAGCTTTGCTCCAGAACTTACCTCTGGAAACTTCAGGGTTTGATCAAAGGCTCAATTAAACAAACTAACAAATAAATAATCTATTGCTTCAGTGGACTTTGTATCATCACCCTAATGAGTCATCCCCACACAACATTTCAAAGGCTGCAGAGAAATTAAGCTTGATTGCAATTCCTCCGCGTAAGCGAGGCAGGACTGTTTGCCTGCACACGTACCAGAGAAACTCCCACCCAGTGTAGCACCACGCTTTTGGTCTGTTGATGTGCTTTAAAAACTACCAGCATCTTAATTATTTCACCAAATTTTTAGACAAACCATTGCTTAACGAAAACCATCCCAAAACAACAGCATAAGAGGTAAATCATGGGTAGCTATGCGTACTGCATGAAAAATGGAAAATAATTTGAGAAACTTTCTTAAACAAAGTGTAAAAATGACCCTGCTGTCCACAACAGCAACTAAAAATATACTTGAGAATAAAAATGGTAATTTGTGGGAGAAGAACCAGCTCCCCAAGTGTTACCCCGCCCCCGGTATTCTGACCTCATCAAAAAATTGCTGAGTTTTACGCAGTATAAATTTTAATTCTGTCAGCTCCAAGAAGTTTCTCTTCAGAGCTTCCTGGTTTGTGTTGATTTCTTTAAGCTCATTTTCAATTTTCTCAAAGTTTGCCTGCAAGATGTGAAAAGGAGAAGGAAAAAGGACTTTAAGCAATTCCATAAACGAGTGCTCCAGCCTGCTGTGGCACACAGTTCCAGAGCTGTCACATTCTCTTCAGGCAGCCTGAAACTTTTTGTACCTGGACAGGCTTTTATCGACCGGATTTATGCAGTGCTCTTCAAATCACTGAAAACCCTCACAAACTTTAACCCAGACCACCATGAACCACGCAGTTCCAACAGTTTTTGATCCATTTAAGTGGGCATTTAAGTGGAATTCCTTTCAAGTGCTTTCACATCTAACTGCATTTGGACAAATGCACAAGCAAAACAACGCTTGTGAGTCAAAACCCAACCGGAGTGAGCAGGTAGAGCGAGTGTGTCAGGTGCCAGCCAGGGACTACGGTTAACGCACCTCTGCCACGAAATTCCACGGGTATCTACCAAAGGAGCTCCCTTCCCCCGCTTCCATCTACAGCCAAACACTACCCGGGTCTGAACACACGCCATTACCTCCAAGTCAATCATGTCACGTGGAAAAGGCACCTCCGGGTTTTCCCCAGTGTCCATGATGGGAATGTTTGCCTTTTTAATCTCCTTCTCAACAAACCCTGCGAAGACAACGCTGTTAGTGCCAACCAAAAGGCCGCTTCAGCGTCAGACCGCCGCCATAACCCC